TTTCTCTCCGCTTAATTCCACTTCGGCACTAAGTTAGTTAGCAAGCTGAAAACCTGGATCTTCACTGGGCTTAGGTGCAAAACCGGGTTCTGAATTATCAGTTGGGGATGGAGGAAGCCACGAGCACGAAATTTTAATGGTTTGATTTTTCGATTTATCAGTACAGTCATACTGGCGTGAGGCTGTCGTGGTATTAAGGCGCATATGTTTTAATGGACCAGAACGTCTTACCTCATTCTTATTTTCTTATCTCATATTGTTAATTATCGTACTTCCACCAGTTAGGCTCCCGCGGTCAACCTGGTTGCTGCAGTCTGCTTATCAAATGCCAAATGATGAAGAGCTTTAATTAGGTTCGTTCTGTCTCTCCTATCCAACGCCACTTCGAATTCGGGTTAATTTGGGTGCTCTAGGTTTAGAATCGGGCAAGCTATTCAGCTGCAGTTTTTGCTTTATGAATTCTCTGATTCATCTAAGATGAGTGACTTGGAAGCAGACAGTGCTCGGACACACTCAAACCAAGTCTGGTCGGTGCGGGCGCAAGGTGAATCAGACGGAACGTGACGAAATTTTTCTGGCTTACAAGTCTTACAAAACAACAGATAAGCGTATGGACTAACATTTGGCGCAGTTCGTTGTTCACGTAACATTCTCTGCTGCTCAAGATTCTGAATTTTTCAGTTCGTAATTTTTGCAAAGCTTAACAAATATTTAAATAAAATGTGAATTTAATTGCAGATGCGCTTGGCTGTTTTAAAAGAAATTCGACAAGGACACTGGCCCTATTTATTGTTCAGCGGGTGCTGCAAACCTCCTACCTTTTCTTTCACCATAATCCCTGTAAAAATTGCCTCATCCCGGAGCAGCTGGGCATCGAGATTCCAAATTTGGTGCTGTTTCGGCTCATGTCAATTTAACTCATCATTTTCGGGCTGGTTTTGGCTTTTTCCTGGCTGGATTTTCCGTCAGCTAAGCAAGATTTGTTTCCACATGCTAACTTACCTTAAGGGGATTTTTATATATCTATATGTTATTTGAGCAGGGGGTTTTTTTTTCATATCCGATTAGGAAGAAGGCGTCGCTCGTTTGCTTTTTGTCGGTGCTGAGTGTCATTGGCTTCGGACCTCATCCTCCGGCTGCTTTCTTTTGTTCCCATCACTTGGTTTGCAGAGAGTGTGCCAAGGAGTTT